TGACGACAATAATTACTTCTGCCGCGATAATGAATTCTCACAGTTTGTTAACATAGGTCGTTCGTGTAGTGGGCTAAATACGTTTCGCACTGCACGGAAAAATGGGGCGGCTTTGTTAGGTGATTGAGAGCTCCATGCAACGACGACGTAACTGCAGTGTAACCCAATTTGCAAATGCGCGAAAACATCGGAACAATCGGTGAAACTTTTACGATAAATTAAGCTACTAGAATGCACGATCAAAGCTGTTTTAATTTTTAGTTTATTCTTTTTTTTTCAGTTTTTATATATCCATTCAGTTTTTGTATATATTAGATAACTTCTCATAAAACGATTACGGCAGAGAAAATATTAAAGGTGAGTTTTAACTGCCCGACTTTACATATTTCGCCAAACACGATCTCGGATATTGTCTCGCTGTTTAAGTCGGGGATAAGGGAAAAGAAATAGGGTGCATTCCGTTTCACGTATGACGCACATAATGCACTATTTATCTTTGTTTAACATTCGGTGAACAACAAGGATAAATGCTGCATTATGTGCATCATGCGTGAAACGGAATGCACCCTATTTCTTTTCCTTTATCCTCGATTTAAACAGCAATATCCGATCGTGTTTGGCGAAATACGTAAAGTCGGGCAGTTAAAAATTCATCGCTTTAAAAAAAATATGGCAATATTTTTATTATTTAAGTGAATACGCTTTCTGAAAAATGTTTGCATTGAAGAATAAAATAAACTCTTTGCTTGCGCCATCTTTTTCCTTACTTTCCAACTGGGTTTTAAGTTATTAAGCAGGTTACATAAATGCATCATCACGATCGTAAAATCCTTTCGTCCTATTCTTCGCGGGATAATTTGACCGTAATGCAGTCGTAAAAGGTTCTCCGACGGCGCAATTAAAACTGAAATGGGCGAGGATAAGTTGCAGCGCGGCCGTGCGTAACTACACGTGACATTTATTCAGAATCGCGACGTTACGAGGGGAATAAAAAACGGCACTCTGAATATATGACGAAATTTATGAATTAATCGCAATGTAACGCGACACGCTCCGGAAAACCGCGCGTCTTCATCTTCCGCACTCTCCTCCTCTTCCTATTTACCGCCACCCCCGACAGCGAAGACGGAAGTGGCGTGGCTTTGATCTTGAAATTGCTTTACTGGAGCGTAATTCGATTCCAAGTTTGGGACATGAGGGAAGAGCCGCGTGGGAAATCGGTATTCGCAATTACTTTGTTTTTTGTTCGTGCCGGAGCTTTTTAATCCGCCCCTGCAATCTTATTACTTTTAATTTACAACATTATATCGAGAATTTTAATGGCATAGAAAATATTAAGGGTGAATTTCTTTATAGGTATGCATTGTAATAAATGCAGAGGCAAAATATCATTTTTGCAATTGATAAGTAACAAGAAAAAGTGGGCTTCGAGAGTCAAACGCGGTTAATTAATGCTGGTAACATTTAATTAATAATTTAATACAATTTAGTACGTTTGATTTTTTTATTTAATTTATCTATCACCGCTGAAGATGACTCAAAGTAGAGCCGAAACGTATGATTTATAATTTGTATTGAATTATTAAATGTTATCAACTCACGTACAACTATATAAACCGCATTTGGCTTTCAAAGCTCACTTTTCTTTGCTACTCGTTAATTTTAATATCGAGAGTCTTTAGTTAATTAATTTTGGGCTACTAAAAGTCGGAGAAGTATATTTTTATCAATTTAGGATATAATGTTCCTATCTACAATTCCCATCACTAATAGAGGAACTAAAATTCTCGAACAATAATCGACGATTTTTCTCAATCCGTACGTACTTTCGTGCTCTTTCTCTGAGAGAAATGCGTCGAATTTCCAGTTACCCAAGATACTATCACGGTGCGTTTGAGCCCTCGGACAAAAATAGATCCATTTGCGAAATAGTCTCCTTGCTCTCTCTCTCTCTCTCTTTCTAACTCTTTGGCTCTCTTTTTTCCCTTTCGTGGCGCCCGTGTACATTGGAACGAAATTATATATTCCCGGAGGAAAGCGAAGTATCGCGAGAGGAGTGGTTCATATTCCGCGCGATACTCTCGAGCTTTTACTGGCATGGAAAATACAATTTTCGCGGATGCTTGCCGTGATAAAGTACGAGTAAGCGAGCATATGGGATTTTCATTTTTCATTGGATTTTCACACACTCGAGTATTTTCCCGATTTGTCGCGAGTTTCCTTTCACCGTCTTTGAGAATGGAAAGTACAAGAGTGTGAAGACGTTACGAGTTGTATTCTTTATCACGTTCCGAGAAATCTTCTGTTGCGCCATTTTCACCGTTGCTACCGTGATTTTATTTTAAACACCCCGTACAGACACAATGCGAGTGAAGAAATAACCGTTTACCGCAAATTGTCTATTTTATTAGTTGATATCATGTGTTTGCGGACACATCCGTAGCGTTTACATCCGATGCGTTTACATCGCCGTAAAATGTGTTTAAAGTTTAAACTACCCTGTGAGACCTGATCTTGCTTCGTATATGTAGGGCTAAATGTCATGGCGTGGGAAATGGGTCACGATCATCTCACGGTAATCTCCTACGATGTCATACAAATGGAAATTACATTCGATTACGAGTCTCTCTACTCTTTTGCTTCGTGCTCGTCACTATATATGTTAAGAAGAGTTCGATCAAAATCAAAATGCCTGACAGCCATTAATCTATTGCGAACGTCTCGCGTAAAGTTCTCTATACGGACAGCAGGAGTAAATTTTAGTTTAAAGTTTTATCTCGTAATCGATTTCGTCCGTTACCGTAGGGAAAATTATAAATATATCATTTATTCTTCATTAATTAAACTTTTATTATGGCAAAAATAGGAATTATGTAGATTTAATTTTAAGGGAATTGGACTTTAATTTTATCTTCTGAATATTATTACAGAAAATTTACAGAATAAATCATATGCGGGAATAAATGATAAAGAATATAGTTATTTTAACTTATTTAAATTTTAAAGTGAATTAAATTTAAATACAATTTTAAATTCATATCTCATTTAGCTGAGATACGGCAAAGAGATATTGTTAATATGTATATTTGTAATGAAAAAGTTTTAATATATAAAGATTCCAACCAGTAATTAAACTATAAGAAACTAATAATAATTATTACGTTTGTATGATAGGTGTATTTGTAAAGAATTATAATTAATTGAAGAAAAAATATTATGGTGGATAATACCTAAAAGTGATACAGCACAGAAGTTTTCTCAAAAGCCTAATGTCAGTCTAATGGATCTCGGTAATTCTAAATCCCACGTCTGTACAAAATGTGTGCACCATTTACGAGAATACAGCAACTAGTTGCACCGAGAATTCACCGAGAAAACAGCACGAACTATTTCCATCGAAAATCGAAATCGAAGAAGGTTCGCCCGAAATTGGCAGGTCAGCTCTTTCTTCCCATTTTTACGCCACGCTTCCTACAGAAATAAACTGCATCTCTAGCGACTCAAAGATGCATACGGATTGGGGCGAGATCACGTAACCGAGCAAGCTTATTGCATCTTGAGTGCATTGAATGTTTGAGTCGCTTTTCTCTGAAAGAACTGGAAATGCAATATTGAGACAATCATGATTAAAATTCTAAGTTTTTTTGCAAGAGATGCATATTCATTTACTTTCCATTAAAAATTGCCATTTAAAATTACTCTACACTCTCTCACTTGAGAAATATGTTGGTTAAATAATATTCTATGTATATAGAAGAAATGTGAGCAAAGATATATATTTCATAACTAAAATATATTTTTATATAGAATATTATTTATCAATCAAATATCAATCAATTTATCATATATAATTGATTAGAACAGCTGGAGTAAATAATTCTTCTGGAGACTTGAATATTCCCTATGCGGAATTACTCGGATATTACTGTTAAACATTAATTTTCCTCGCATATAGTCGGGTTATAATTGACACGCGTCTCTTCCATGTTGCGAAGATACGCTTGGCTTGCATAATGTATGTTCAATTTGATATTAACATTTCTCAACAGTTACATCGATAATCCTTTCAAAAAGAAAATTTTATATTAATAAATTATACACGTTGCATATTTACATAATACATAGTAGAATTATAGATAATATATGCATATAACGAGATGAATGTGTGTCAAGGTTTTGGAAGCTTTTTGTGATGAGGAAAATACGGAAAAAATTTGATATATAATTAGTTAAAACTTTCCTAAAACTCTTCTCGAAAATTATCATAATTGTTATTATAATGCTTATATAGAAGTAATATAAAAAGAGTTCATGCAATAAAGATTACATTCTTGGATTGAGTAAAAAAGGCTTAATTATTTCAAGAGATTTAATATGGTTACGACGTTCTAAACATAACTAGCCAAATTGTCATTATTGCAGTCGTTATTCTGAATTTAGAACCTTCAGAAAAAGAAGAAAACACAAAATCGTCAAATAATACTTTCTTTACAATTATATGTATAGTTTAAAAGGATTTAGTATAACATTACATTACTCTATAAAAACGATACAAGCACGCATACTAATGCGCTACAGGCTACATCGTTACAATCTAGAGGTGCGAGCGTGTTCAAGTGGAAACAGAGATGGGTCAGGCTGACGTCGGTGCAAATTGGTGCCGCGAGGCAATCAGAAATTTACGCACTACGATGTGTATGGCAGACTAACAAGCCTGTGTGGCTCTAAGAAGAGTCAAGCAGAGTGGTATTTAACCGCGCGGCGTGAAGGGCGCTAAAGTGCTTGCTGGATTATGGAAATCGTTCACGCTCTGCCGCAAAGCGCCGCTCCCGCGAGTGCTCTTTGACGCGGAGAAGCGAAAGAGAAGTTCAATTTCCAAGCGAGTCGCTGGACCGCTATTAATACGCGAAGGAGCGTGTTGCCACTTCCTCCGATAGCCAGATCCGTGCATTGTGCATCGCGGTGAGTGCTTAATTCGTTTGCATTCCACTTCCACTTACCGGCGGACATTTCTCACGATTTTCTTCCGCTTTCTTCTCGCCCTCGTGATTTTCCCGACCTCGGCGCAGCGACTTTCTTTCTCCCGGGGCTTGCTTTTACTCTCAACCGACCACTTTTATGTCTAATTGGCCCGCCGACGGCGACTCGGCGACGTGCGAAACGCTCTTCCTCGATCTGTCGTCCCTCCGCGCAAGGGATGTGTCATCCTTTCCATCAGCTGTCGTTCTTAAGGATGTCGCCCTGTACTTGATATCGCGTTTCTCGATCATCGATATATACGTCTCGTTAAACTGATGGCGATTTTTTTCCTGATACGCGCGTTGCTTCTTTCGGAAAGATGTGACGAATCGTCTAGAGATGCCAAAAGGTATACACAATCTATGGATAAAGATGAGCTAATAATAAATGATGCCGTGTCGGATACATACCGTACAACTGACATCCAATTAATATATTTACTTTTCTCCGTCGTACGTAGGATATACACTCTCAGAAAAGAATTCTAGATACAATACTATTAGGATCGAAATAGGGCCAATCATATTTTAATTTTAAATAGAGGAATTCTTAAATCCATTCAGAATTATTCTAGATTTAAGAATTCCTCTATTTAAGATTAAAATATTCTTCTTTCAATACTAAATATGATTGGCTCTATTTCGATCCTAATAGTATTGTATCTAGAATTCTTTTCTGAGAGTGTAAATTCAAAATCTTTCAAGAAAAGAGAAAAATAATATAAATATATAAAATATTTTATTTAATATCATAATTGTCGATTTTTAGTAGGTTATAAATGCTATGATCTGTTGGCATAACAATTTGGCTTTTCTGCATTTACATCATTATATAGAAAATAGCGGAATAGGATAAAAATATTCTAAAGACTGATATACAAGAAGTGATTATTCTGTGGAATTCGACGTGTCACAGGAAAGAAAAGTCCGCTGGTTTGTCGTGGATATCGCGCCCCGATGAGCGCGTCCGGCAGAATAAAATCACGTGAAATTCCGAGGTCAGATTCCGATTTAATGAAGGTGTGTAACGTGGCATGAAATTATTTCTGAGCGAAAATTGTTAATCGAATCAACCCGCTGACGCGGACGGCGAGCCCGCGAACGTTTTTTCAATTTCGAAATTAGCCCTTACATGGCGGATGAGTTTTAAATGACGAATTTAATGAGACTTACTTCGAAATATGACTTGCCACGTGTTTCTTTGCTGTTTAATTAAGCGTTATTACAATATTCGCTTTGGGAATAATAATTTAAATGTGAGAGGCTTAAGGTTTATGATGCGTTATCCCTTATGATGTTTAATAATTTCTGGCAAAGCGCAACTTTTGCTGCGTAAAATAATGGATAGGACGCGTCCTGCGAGATTGTTGATAATAGAGTGATTTATTGCTCGCATTCATTCGTATTTATGATGTTTACTTCAAGTTCGCGCATGTAATTAATCCTGGCGAACATAAATCAAGAAGTTTGCATAGTCGGACGTCCACGAGACGGTCGTCCAACGGTCGTTGACAGTTGAGGGGGCTCTAAACCAGATGTTCACAGATACGTGTGTTTAAGATACTTGAGAAGTTTATTCAGCAAAAATGTGTCAAGAGCAAAGCGTGATAAGAACATCGGATATCTTTGAAAATTTCTTAAGCTATATATAATTCGAATGTCATGTCATAACGATGATGGAAAGTAGAGGAAAATGACAAATTTATTTTATGATCTTATAAAACTGTCGAAAAATAAAATAATACAAGTAATACAATAAACGATATTTGCGGCGATAATAAAATTTACGCGATTGCTGCATAATATTCGTTACTACAATGCACCAGACATTTATAAAACCGACATTACGGACCAAATGTATTTAATTTACGCAAACGTTCAAATGGTCGCATGTTTGACCGCGGCAATTGTTCGTGGAGACTGAATGTGTAATTAACGCCGAGTCGAAGATCGACGAACACCGCGGGCTCTTAATTATCTTTCGTTTTCTCAGGATGAAATGGAGATTTCGAATTATCTTAACTGGAAATTGTACACGTGAATACCGTTCGCGTTCTCTCTCTCTCTCTCTCTCTCTCTCTCTTTCTCTCTTTCGCGGAGTATCTTAAAAGTTTATCCCTCCAGGCTTATTGAGTCTCTTTGAGGAAAATTCTAATAAAGCTGCGGGAATAATGTTGGCTTAGCGCATCTTCGAGATCTTCGGGTTAATAATACATTGTCCTTTGTCATGGTTGCCGCGGGCGTATGAACTTTGAAAACGCGCTTTCCGCACCGTATTATGAAATGAACATAAACATATATCCAAGATATTCGGAAGTTTTGACAAATCAAAAGAATAAGCGATGGAGAAAGATTAATTCAAAAATATTATGTCTTATTTATTTATTTTTTTATTATTGTTACTTTAATTATTATTATTATTTATTGAAAGAACTCTATTATTTAATCTTTTTTTTTAAATGTGATAAATAGATCACTTATAAGAATTTTAATTTTTGTATTTTCTATTAAATCAGGAATTTATGGACGGCATTGTGTATAAATGTATGTGTCTAAATGTAGTAAAAAATGTGAAAATTTATTGCAGGAGGACTTGCTACGTTTAGCGGTTTTAATAATGTAAAACACAATTAAATTCATGTTTTCATGGAAACCGCATTTCGGTCCTAATGTCGCGAATATGTAAATGTTATTGCGCGTGATATTAGGTCGAGGGACATCTTATAACGGGATGAAATTTCGCGATATTGTATCAGATTTTGCCATCCCTAAATATGCATACTGAATAATCGTTGCCTATACTCACTGCTAGTTATAAAATGCTGCAAAAAAGCATATATTTATAATTGCAGGATTACTTTCGATGTGTATGTACGTGGAATTTGAAATCCAATTTTACCTAAAGAAAGATTAAATACTTTTATATATTTTTTTGTTGTGTATTTAATATAAACTTTTTATTTCTTGTAACAACTTTTAGATATTTCAAAATAAAATTATAGTTTCTTTAATCTAGAATGCTTTGAGCGAGAAGAAATTAGAAACTTCTTATAAATATCGAAGGAACGATAATTTGTGTAAAGGCAAATCAAAATCTTTAGACTTAATAAGACTTTAACTTTCACTTAATTTTAAAAATGGAATTTAGAAGGAAAAAACGATTTTAAAAGTTTTATCACAGTTAACGTATTTAATGATGTATACTCACGCACTTTTTCAATTGAACTGCATATTAGATTTGAGATGTAATTATACTAAAACGATTGTTCGCTCCATTGTAACACACGATCGAGTATACTATCGAAGATCATTTGTTATATTCTGACTAATCGCCGGCATGCGTTATACGTATCGATTATGTATCAAATGGTTCGTACAGGAGACTTGATTTATGATAGTACAGACTTTCATAATTTTCAACTTACGTAGCCACGTTGCACTTGCAATTAGCTATAAAATAGATTATTCCAATAAATTATGAAATAAAATAGAAATTAAAACTGTTGAAAATGGGCAATTCTGAAAACTCTGTGGTTAATTTTATTGCCCGTGATAAAATGTGACTTATAATTAGAGTGGAATGATAATTATGCATGTACACGAATCTCTCGCAGGCAGATGCTACAGCATGAGGATTAAGGCGAGAGAGAGAAGTGATTAACTGTCTCGACTTTATACATTTTCCGCGTCCCATGGCAGAGGTAACAAGGTTTATAAATGTTTTACGTTCGCTTCTCATCTCCAGCATATTATTTCGCAGCTGGTGCCATTCCCCGCGCGCGCGACACGAAGTTTACGTAAGTACGATATTATTCTAATATTTAGAAGAAAGTTTTGCACAATACAGAGATGTCGCGAAATTTCTATCGTCCCGAAGCCGCCCCAACCTATTTCTACGGTCGTGAATAAATATCGGAAAGCTGACTTCTTTATTGCGCGCTTTTCTCGCGTTAGAAAGCTTTTGCGAAAATTCACTGCTCCGCGTCCTTGCTATGAAATATTTCATTAACACTACATGGCCCATGTTTTTGCGCGCACGCTTTTCTTTTTCTTCTTCTTTTTTGCGTACTTAAAAAGTTTATTGTGCGATAAGTTCGATATATGTAAAGTACTCTATATAACTTTTTAAGAATAAAATATAATATGAATATTATACAATTAAAATATAATATAAATGTTACAATTAAATCTTAAAATACTGCTGGAAATTATTATACCATAGTCAAGCATAGGGGAGAGTTCTGTTACCAATTTTTTTATTAATCAATCAATCAGTGACGCTTGCAGTGTCTTCGTCGGATCTTTCGATCTTGCAACTTCCATCTCAAAACTTTTCTCTTTTTCTTAAATAAAAGATCACGTGAGAAACTTTGAAGATACCCGGGTCATTGTTTGCTATATCGACTTTTCGTCAAAGAGGGTTTGCGGTATATGATCGGGTTAAATCCCGGGAGGGGGAAGGGGGGAATAACTTGATAACGACGAACCGGTTTCGTATCTCCGTCGATCTGACGGTAGTGCGGCTTTCATTATCGCCGTTAATCGACTCATTCTCGACTCGTTGCCCATTCATCACAGTTGGCTTAGCGTCGTTCTGTGTCGACGTGCGCTTATCACGAATTATCGGCGAATTATATTATACTATTAACATTCTGCAATACTGGCAGATCGACGCAGAGATTGTCGGTATCGCTGTTTATACCGATGAGCAATTCAATTTTGAGGATAAATAGCGGCGATCATTTTCATTGGTCTGTATTTAGGTGCCTATCACGCATACGTAGCCATCGAAATAAATTTAATGGTAGAAATTGATGAAATGCGCAAATTGATTGTGTGCCTAGTTCTCCCCTGGGTCTTTATTACGACTAATTAATTTGCGCTAACATACGCGTATCCATAATTTTCCCTGCACTTACCATAATGAAAGGAGATAATGAAACTTGTGATTATGAAAGATTAACCCAGAAAAGTTGAATTTTGCAAAGTTTCTATACGTACACTTTACGATAATTGTGTTAGGCAGGAAATATTATGCAAAAGGATATCGCGTTACTTCAAACATTTCAGACCTTTCTATTAAATTGAAATTAATCTTTAAATTAATTAAATCACATGTTTTACATGTTAAATCTATCGCTTGATAATGGAAACTGATTCGAGATTGACAGGATCGAGATCTCCTCGAATCAAGCGCTTCTTTGTAGTGCTTTCGAGCATCGGCGAGTGTGTGTGCTTACGCATTTAACTATGGTACAGCTGACAGGCTATATGACTATTTGTCTATGTGCACTATCCACGTCCCATGCACTCGTTCGTGTTCCATCAGCGCGAAATGATTCTCATTTCCCACGAGCTGAA